ACCGAGTTCCTACACGTTGGCACTGTTGGCACTTCCATTCTGGACAGAAGCCCTCCACAACAATGGAACACAGTGTGTTCTCAAAACTTGTAATCAAATGTAAATGGAGAGAAAGACCACAGTCCCAACACTCACCTGTTGAGTCGAATTCGATTGGCTGGCAGTGGCGGCTGAAGAACCAATCACATTTGAGCACCTGCCCTTCTTCCACGATGCTGGGCTGGGTGGTGTTGGCTTTGAGGGCACCCACCAGAAGAAATATCCTGCTGAAATACAAAGGGATGGGCAATACCGTAAACAACACATGGCAGAAGCAGCATCTGATGACTTAGGAGGTGCAATCATTCTCTTAATATCATTCACAAACTAGGCGTGGTAGCACAGGCCTGTAATCTCAGTGCTCAGGGGGCTGAGACAGGAGGATCATCACAAGTTCAAGGCCAGTGTGGGCTACATGATGAGTTCACGGCCAGCCTGAACTACACAGTGAGATCCTGTCTCAAAAGCAAACACTCAAACAAAAAGCAATGTTATCCACAAATGCCTTCGAAAACCATTCAGTGAGGGTGTAATTTTCTCTATTTATTTGGTAAGCTCTCACATACACACATTATTTGGTATAGACTATTCATCCTGACAACATTATAATTTCAGAGTTACATTCATTTAAAAATGCATGCTGTTCAAATTGTATGCTTTAAATACATAGTTTATTCCATGTCACATGTCTCAATAAAGGACATTTTTTAAATCTCTGCTGACTACAGAGCCTGGGAAGTTTGGTTTGGTTTCTGTTAGCCTTTTGACATCATTTCATATTTTTATTTTGAGGCAGGGTCTAGTTAAGTTGCCCAGGCTGGCCTTGAACTTGTGATTCTCCTGCCTCAGCCTCCGGAGTAGCTGGGATTAAAGGAATGTGCCGAACAGTCTGGACAACGCAGAAAATGCTGGAGGATGGGGTCCCTGGGAAGAGCTGGGGCCACTTCTGAAAGAGGCTGGGCATGGCACAGGGAGAAACTGGAGTTTATCCTACGGTGCATCTGAAAACTTCAGAAACTGGATTCCATGTCCTATAGGGAAGGCATTAAGAAAGCAGCAAAAGGGCCAGGGATTTAGCTCAGTGGTTTCGCCATCTGCTGCGCAAGTGCAAGGACCCGAGTTCGATCCCTGGTACCAAAAAACAAAACAAAACAAACAACGAAAAAAGAAAGCAGCAAAAATGGAAGTAGGAGAGCAACAGCCTAGTCACAGCCCCAGGAGGTGACCGTGCCCTACAGGGGAAGGAAAGACTGGAGAAGGATCTGGATTTGAAGGAAGAGAGGGCAGCAGGGGCTTTGAACATGGGAAGGAGGGATGACAGGGATGCACCATCCCAGGATCCTGGGATGACAGGCATGCACCAACACACCCTGCTCAGCTTTGTTCTTGGGTCTGGAAGGCAGAAGGAATGAGACAGTGGAGGGAGACACACAGGGAGCCACACAACCAGGTCTCAGTAGGCTGCTGACAGCTGCTGAGACACCTAGGCAGCAGCCAGGGCCTGAGATCACTGTGGTGGAGATGTCACAAAGAAGAAGTCAAAAACCCCACATGGGCAGCACTGAACTGACACTGTCTTGCCACCATCTCTTTTCGCTGAACACTAAGGCCCTTACATTCTCCTGGCTAACAGAGCTCATGCATGCTTCTCCCTTTCCGTGAAGTTAGGAACAGACCTTGGGGGCTCACTTCACCTTTGCCATCAATTTCCACTTCTTTTATTCTGGGCAGCACCTGTCAAACCTCACCTGGACTGGACAAAAACTGGCTGTGTGCAGGCCAGGTCACAAGCATCTGGCTTCCTAAGACTTATCTGGAAACCCGCAAAGCCAGAATCACAATCAAAATCAAACTCCCACCCAAGCCTCGCCCTGGTGAATAAAGCTTTCTGCAGTCATCTTTGGCACCAGCAGAACAGCAGTGCTGGCGCTCCGTCATTGTAACAGCGATTCTGGGTAGGAACTCAACTAAGTTTTCATTCCACAAGAATCTTTCACGAAAAAAATAAAATAAGGCAGCAGCCCTGTTGCAGCATGAGGAAGACAGCAGCTTCCAGTCAGCTCAGGCCCCTCCGGGCTCCTTGTAAGCAGAGTTAGCTCACACAGCTATATCACGTATATAAGCAAATCATCATGTGCAAATTCACACATTTGTAACTATAAATGACACAGATGTTTCTCCCTTTCAACAACAACAATTTGACCAAAGGGCTGGGCATGGAGTCCTTGCCTGGAACCTGAGAGGCCCTGGGTTCCCTGCCCAGCACTGTCATTAAAAAAAAAAAATTTGACCACAAAATCCCAAAAAACTGCCCTTCTTCATCAGAATGAAATGATCTTTTCTTTGTACACTGGAGAAGAAGAATTTCAAGCAAGTGTGCTTTTGAAGTCTCCGAGGTGAAAAGGACTTGGGTCTTCCAGGCAGCCCCAGGAAGAGTGATGCTGCCGGGTGCCGGGGGATCAGGAGAGGAGCTCAGGGCCACAGCAAACTCACTTCCGGCCCATCCTCGGGCCATGCCAGGAACTTCCTGTCATTTTTTCAAAACGATGCCCTGCACCTGCAACTCCTTTGAACACAGCAGACTGATTCATCCTCATACCTGACAGCAGAGAGGCAGGAAACTCAGCAGCCTCAGGCCTGGCTCTCAAACCAGCTAGAGCAAGAAGCCGCTTCCCAGCAGGCCCGACCTCTCCATCACCGTCCAGCTGTGCACTCACACCCTCACCTCGGATCAGCTCCGCATGGAAGAAAGGGCGAGGCAGGGGGATCTCTGAAGGGAGCCCAGCCCCTTGGTGCCCAGGGACAGCACACCCCGGCCTGGGGCCATTTTCGTCTCCCGGGCAGGAAAGGACGGTGGAGAGACTCTGGTTTCACCCCATGCCCTGCAGGGCTCCTTCATGTGCGGTCTTGCTGCCCAGTCTGGGCCACAGGAAGAGAAAAATATAAATGGAATGTGTGCGCTTGTCCATACCTAGATGCTAGGCTATTGGGAAGAACAACAGCTATTTAATTGAGCTTTTGAAGTGAAAAATGGAGAGGTGGAGAAAGTAAAATGACCTTAGACAGATGTTAAAGTCTTTTTTTTTTTTGGTACCAGGGATCAAACTCGGGACCTTGCGCTTGCTAGGCAGGCGGTGGAACTACTGAGCTAAATCCCCGGCCCAGATGTTAAAGTCTTAAGGGGGACTTGTGTGTGCTGAGAAAATACTTGCATAGAATAAAGGTACAAGGTGGTCAGGTACGCTGCCTGGGAAAGGTAAGGGCTGTAAAAAGCAAAATACACTGCAAAAAGAAAAAAGAAAAAAAACCCCTAATAATGAAATGCTTTGTAAAAAAATGAAATTACTGCTACTTAAAAGTTCTTCTAAGAACATCTGATGAGTGTCTACAACAGTGTAATTCAAGTAAGAAAAGCCACACACTAGAAATAAACATTTGCAATCTCGGCAACAGTATCTAAAGGAAACAGCTTGGGCCCAAGAGTTACAAACTCTGCAAACCAATGAGGAAGTCGCTTGAAGTCTCCAAAATTCTCAGCCTTGTTCTAGAGGGTGGAGATCAATAAGGACCACTGTAACCATCCAAGGGAAATTTCCTCAAGGCAGACAGTGGATAAATGCAAACTTAGAAAATCAAAAAGCATCATAAAAATACAAGATTAGGGCACTTGAAAGGAAAAGCAATACAAAGTTTAAATAAACTTGCAAGCGGTTTTTATGAGGAACAGCTTTTCTTTCCTCGGCTTTCTCAAAGGGCCACTAAAAGTCAGGGAAGGAACCCGGTGGAAAGGAGAGGCTGAGGAGCCTGCAACACCGTGGCTGGGGTCTGCACCTGGTAGGGTGGGAGGAGGCCGGCGGCGAGAGATTTCACTGCCTTGCAGATCTGAAGCTGAGCAACTCAGTTTCAGAAGTCTTCAACTTTGAGCTGATAAAGTCCCTCTCCCTCCAACAGTCTGCCCACGGACCCTCAGGATGCCAAAACCCGGCTGTTCCGCCCCACTCAGAGGCCCCTCACACTCCGCTGAGGTTTCTGTCCACGCACAGGCTCTTAGCACGCACGTCAAGAGGTTCAAAAGCTGCGGGGGCGCGGGCACAGAAGAAGGCTGCCAGGAAAAACGAGAAGGGAGAGGAGGAGGAGGAGGGAGGGAGGGAGAGGAGGAGGGGGACAGAGGAGGAGAAAAGGCGGAGAAGCAAGCGGGCAGCACCAGCGGCAGGGAGCCCTTGCGGTCCACACATGCCCCTCCACAGTGTGCTGGGCCCAGCTCTGGACTCCGGCTGGCTCCGGGAAGGGCACCTGGCCAAACGATGACAAGTACATTTTTCAAACCCTCCAAATGAACTCAGTTATTTGGCGGCTTTCGGCAGGGCCCTTTCCAAAATAAAGCAGGTTTTGTCTGCTTAGCTGACTCTGGGTGACCAGTGGACCTTGACCCAAAGGGACTCCTGAAGAAAATGTGCCCAGATAGAGGAAATAAAGTGTGTAAAATAGCACTGAATGTTACTTCTGAGATCCAATTCCAGTTTCAGGTTTACTCTCGTTTAAGAAAAAAGTTACTGAGTTGGCAATTGCATGATGCAGAACAGAAGCAGTTGCTACAAATTCCATATATTTTCCCTTCTCCAATGTCCTACAAACCTGGGGGCTTCAAGGGGAGGAACCTAAGGTTTGCTTTCTAAATAAAGACAATAGCCTGTGTGCACGTTAAGTATGCTGCGTTTTATGCAAATGAGCTGGCTCACTTCGTGAAGTGTTTTGACCACATCTTCAAAGGTGAAGGGGGAAATGGAGGTGACAGAGTACAGGGAGCCTTAACCCAGTTTAAGCTGTCCTGGCTTTCTCTCTGGCAACAGAGGCACTGCTGAGGCAATGTCAGCAGCTGAGTGTCAAGATCAAAAAGATGTTTCCGAAATGTAAAATGAATAGAAACAGAAGAGGCCTGGCGGGTCCAAGAGGCCAAGAGGTTAGGGAGGAAGTGGGTGACACCAGGTCACAGCTATACTGACCTTGGCAAGTCTTGGAGGTGGCAGAGTGGAAACAAAACCTTAACTAGGAGGAATCTGGGAGACCTTCAGCCTGGTGACTAAGTACTGACTAATCCTGGAGGAGTACAGCAGGAGAGACAAAGAAAAATAGAAAATGAGAAGGAGGAATATGAAATCATCTCCAGGGCAATAGAGAAAATGATGGCACTATTAATAGAAATGAAGGTGAACCTGACATCTTTCCGTGAAAAGAGTTCGTTTTTAGTCTAATGAGTTAAGGTGCAGTCAAGAAGAAATGGCGCACAATCCACTGGAATATCAAGTTAAGACTCCACTTTTGGATCTGAGATACAGTAAGGTGGCAGTGTAATTTAAAAACATTTCCAAAGCCGGACATGGTGGTGCAGGCTTGTAATCTCAGCACTCTACTCTGGGAAGCTGAGGCAGGAGGACCACAAATTGGAGACCAGGCTGGGCAACTTAGCAAAATGCTGTCTCAAAATTTTTAAAAAGTTAAAAAAGGCGTGGAGATGTAGCTCAGTGTGAAGGCCCTGGGTTCAAGCCCCAGTAGCAGGCTGCAGGTGTTGTCATGTTAGGACTGAGGACAACTGAAGATTCAAAAGGACATTTGGAAACCAGCTAGCCCTTGTTTTTGGTGTCACAAGAAGACTCCGTACTGTAGGGAGAACAAAACAAAACAAACCTACGCTTCTTCCTAATGAGGGAAAAGGCAAGAATTTAAATCCAGGGTCAGCGTTATTCATTATAGCACCATACTTATATGTAAAATAGGAACTATATAACATAGTAGCTGGAGAATACATGAGATTATTTTATTCATTTAAAATTTAATATTTGAAGATAAGTGAGATCTGAATTTCTCACACTTTTTGACCCCTACCTCATAGCCACCTGCTCACACCACTAAGGGTAAAGTCACAGCTGCGACTACCTCACCGTGTGGTTCAGGAACTGGTTCACGGGAGGAGTTTGGGAAGGTTTAGAGATGCCAGATGGAGAAGCACCCTTGGACCATCATAAGTGGAGCGTGATGGGAGATTCTGGTTTTTTGCCTTTGTTTGTTATATGAGATGAGGTGCAGTTCAAGCTGGCCTTAAACTCACTATGCAGCCCAGGTTAGCCTCAAAATCATGACAGTCCTTCTGCCTCAGCCTCCCAAGTGCTGGGATTACAGTCGTGTGCTGGAATGCTGATAAAAAAAAAATGCAGATGGTAAAGACCAGACTCAGGAGGGTTCTGCTGCAAACACGGACTGCATTGGCAAGTGGATTTCATGCCATGTGTGTTATCCTTTGTCTATATTTTGCTCATGTCCTGAGACTTTGCAGGAGACTGAAATTAAGAGTGGCAAGACTAATATGATAGAGGAAATTTCAAGGCAATCCATTGTTGAGGCTCTGGCATGGATATTGCTTGCCCCCTTTAACCAAGCCTATTCTGAAATTCAGGAGCAAAAAACCCTTTTGAAAAGTTTTGAGTTTTGCCAGAAAGGAACCTCTGGTAAACTGAAGCCAGCAGAGATAAAGTACAGGAGAGTCTGGTTGTTAAAAGATTAAGATTTAAAGGAAGCCAAATACTTTACAACAGGACAATAGGAAAAACAGCTTGAGGGCGTGAAAGGAATCAGCAAGGCTCCACCCTCAAAATTACAAAAGTGAAAGGCTTTCCTTTGGGGAAAAAAGCCCCAGGGCACCATGCTGGAGAAGGGGCACCCAGAGAATCTGTTGCCTAGGGTTCAGTTCTTATCATGCTGCACTGCCGGCACTTAGGAGACTCCTACAGCCCCAGACAAGGAAGCCTAGCTACTGCTCAAGTTGGCAGCAGATCTTGGCGTTGTTGGTGCTGAGTTTATAGGCATGGAGAATGCAGGATTTGTGAGCTCAGGAAGGCTTCCACTCAGGTTTCAGAAGAAGGCCTGGGAGGCCACACAGTATGCCCAGGAGAGGACAGTGCATGAAGCTGTGAGAGTGAAACTAAAAGTGCACTGGAGATCCCAG